TTTAATTTTGTAATATCAAAATCAGTTGATGGTGTTGCTGTGGATACCTTACTGATCGGTGGCAGAGACGTTGATGGTATACTGTTCGATGTTTTTGGATTTATTATTTTATTTCTTGGACGTAGTTCCAGTGTTTTTTTTATGTTGCGGTGATTTTTATGAACGGGACGTTCATCTTCTCGGTGGAGGGAGGTGTTAGGAAGTCAATACGTTCACTCCCTAAGTTAAAGGTCATTCTGTTGTAACTATTTCATCATGTATTTCGTTTATCTCTTTTCGTTCCCTTTTTATGTGTCATCACGCATATGATTACAATGAAGAAAGAGTTAAGATTCAAGTCAAAGCCAAGATTACATGTGCCTGGTATCCATGTATCCTGGACATTTGGATGAGCGGACTTTTGAAATTTTGAACTGTTGATTGTCAAATCCCCAAACACTGTTTTTATTGGTCGACTTTTTCTTAAATTTCCATTTAAAAATCGATTTCAAAAGCTCCTCCGCTCATCTGGTGTATAATTTGATTCTGAACAACATTTGTACCGAAACTTTTGTTCCAATATGCTTAAGATCCCGCCACTCAAAGAGCTATTTTCATTCAGGAACATTTAATCTTGAAGAAAATTTCAAACAATGTGTACCTTGCGGTAACTTAGTCCTTCTAGTAATTGTTTATCTGCTTAACAAAAAATGTGATATTAGATAGAACAAACATGCATATACGATGACTCTTCTGTTAAACTTAAAGTAAGAGAAGAACAAATACTATTTTCATCGAATATCTATTATCACTAGACACCAGCAAGCGATACAAGTGGAAGTGATAGTGAAAACAAAATCTTCTATCAGTCGATAGTTTATGTCATAAACTATATTTTTGACCATAGTCAGCGATATTCGCACCCATATTTGTCAAAGAGTAAAACGGCTGCTTTTCTAAAAAACAGATCAGCATCGTGTACAACTCGAAAAGATAGAAATGGATACGTATTTTACAGTTTTTTTTATTAACAAGAATGCTTTCTTATATAACAATGATATAAGCAGAATCACAAAGTTACCATTACAGTTTGAAAATGTAATACTTTATTGATAGTAAAAGGTTCTTTTTTCAAATTTTCTTTGTTAGTATATTTTATTACCTTTCTGTCGTGTATGTATGCTACTTACTTGCACATGGATGAAAACACTTTTGATCCATCTGCTTATCGAAAACGTTAAAAGTAAATAGAAACAGAAAAGAAGAACGATAAAAGTCGTGTCTTCTACGTAACAGAAAGTATAAAGGCGTTGCTGTCACCATAGTCCACTGTCGTCATAACTATATTACTTATATTCACACTCTATACACGAATGGCTGCTGTGAATTCAACTGTAAATAAGCTATGTAAATTATGTGAGAAAGGGAAATATAAATGTCAGGGTTGTCATCTATCCTGTTGTAAACGACATTTCGACGGACATAGACAACAACTGGCACGTCAATTTGACAAAATCATTTATGAGCATGATGTTCTACATGAATTGCTCAATTCGAATGGGTCGACCAATAACGACAAAACTGAAGGTGATTTACTGCAAAAAATCGACAACTGGGAAGTTGAAACAATACAAAAAGTAGAATATACAGCTCGACGAGCTCGAGAAAAAATAAAACAACTAATGAACCATCCAAGAGAACGAATCCAGAAAGACTTCTGTTTGATTACAAATGAATTGAAACAGAGTAGACAAGATGACGACTACTTGGAACCAGATTTCGAACGGTGGTATCAGCAATTGCGAGATTTGAAAGAACAAGTTCAGTCCACAAGTGGCAAAATTCAGATAAACACGCGAAAAAGTGACGAAATAGATTGGCCAACATTGATTAAAGTAGATACAACAAATGGATCTACTAGAACAACTGGAAAGGTTTCAGACATAAACGTACGTATGTGTTGCATTGTATCAAATAAAGCAGAACACATCACAAGCTAAACGCACAATAGAATTAAAATGATTTTTTTCTCGAAAAGTTCGACCAGGTAGGTGTGCCTCGGTTCAGGTTACTGGTCTTTTGGTTAAATCGAAGCCGAAATAATCGAACATCAATTGTAACCGAGTAAACTTTATAATGTCCTCGGTTTTCATTGTTACTGTTCAGTTTTTCAAAAAATCGTTTTTTCTGCCATAATTCGATGTGCTCGGATTTGGCTACAAGCCGCGAAAACCATTTCTCGATATCTCTTCGCATTGCCGAGTTATTCGAAGAGGCGCTGGGTATCTTATTTTTGAATCCGATAATAGAAATATTTTAAGGAATGCTATCTAGAGCTATATTCACGTCTACGCGAAAAGTCAGCAATTTTGATTTCAGTTTATCCAAATTCTGAAAACCAGAACAGTAACAATGAAAACCGAGCACATTATAAAGTTTATTCGGTTATGTCGGTTTTGGTTATGACCGATGATTGGTTTGCGTTTTATGACAGAAACCGATGTACGTCTACTGCCAGAATGGAACAGTCCTCTATAACCAGGGCGTGGAATGTATCTGAGAAATAATGAAATCTTTTTCGTCTTTCAACCGTTTACCGAGATACACGACGGTACAAATCGAATCGGATTTAATTTGTTTTCTCAAATATTCATCCGACATTCCACAGTTCAAAATCGCTTTTCGTTGAAATGCACATGACTACAGGTAAGCGATGATGCTAATTCCGAATGTCATAGTGGCTTGGACTCTTACTGTTTCCAAGACCTGGTTTTATACTAAACTTGGTTTTTCATGCAGAACCGTTTTTGCACTAAAATCGATTTCAGATCTGTTCATTTTGTAGAGCATGTTGACATAGCTTCATAGAAAACGTTTCAGCTCTATCGGACTAAATTTGCCCTGACTACAAATTTTTTAATTCTTCTTTTTGGTTAATAAATTTATAACTCAGCCTGATAGAACTGAAACCATTTTTATGTAGCTACAGAAAACGTCTAAAAGTAATAAAACACACTCTAACCTTTAAATACTAAAAATCATCCTATTTTCTTCACATTTTGTTGTTCTGTCGGCTCAGCCGGAAGTAACACTTCAGATAAAAGTAACTGGTATCCTGCGAAATCGGTATTTTTGAGGATCCTTCTATAACAGTTCATAGATCCACTTCGATTTCTGTGAAAGATCCAACAAGCGCTACTAAAATAGTATATAAACGCTTTACCTTATTCACCTATCGCGAAAACTATCACACTATGCAACTGAAGTAATTAGTAATGCAAACTCATCACTATGTTTAGAAATCCACTCCAAACTACATCCAAAAAGCGCAATCTATTGCATCCTACACGGATGACACGCAATCAGAAGTTCGACCATTATTCAAAGGTGGGCAATTACTGAATTCAGGAGAATGTCAACTGACACTCAATGAATTCTATGGCAAATCAAATCAACAATGGGACTTGATTTACCAAGGTACAGAACACGGCTTCACTAGCAACTACTTTCACCAAAGATGCGATCATAAAGGACCCACAATGACTATCATTCAGTCTCTAGAAAACGGCTATCTGTTCGGCCTAATAATTCCAATACTATCTATCCAACAGGAGCAAAGCACGACAATACTTTCAACAATATTCCACGTCATATATGACCAATGCAATGCATATACATCCATTCCGTGGAGCAGCAATCCGACTGCAGCAAAGGACCCAGAAGCATTTCTGTTCACAATAACAAACCCTACCAACACCCCAATCACGAAATTTAAGATAAATAAAAAGTATAATCACCACGCAATATATCATCATCCCAAGTACGGACCAATCTTCGGTAAAACAAATTCACATACAACGCCACCACTTTTCTCACATTATCCCTTCATCACAATCGATTCATTCTTCTTCTCGCCTTTTCTATTAATCAGAAATTCGCGTCACTTTCCCTCGACGAGAATACATGAATTACCACTTCATAGAACAAATTCACATGCATCGCCACCACTTTTCCCACATTATCTCCTCGTCACAATCGATTCATTCTTCTCCTCGCTTCTTCTATTCATCAGAAATTGGCGTCACTTTCCCTCGACGACAACACACGAACTACCACTTCTTACGACAAATTCACATGCATCGCCACCACTTTCCTCACATTATCTCTTCGTCACAATCGATTCATTCTTCTTCTCGCCTTTTCCATTAATCAGAAATTCGCATCACTTTCCCTCGACGAGAATACATGAACTACCACTTCTTACGACAAATTCACATGCATCGCCACCACTTTCCTCACATTATCTCTTCGTCACAATCGATTTCTTCTTCTTCTTGCTTCTTCTATTAATCAGAAAGGGGCGTCACTTTCCGTTTGTTGCCGTTAGCGGACTTTCGAGTGATGTTGCCGTGTATGACTCCGGTGGTCGGATGAATTGTAGGATTGGTTTCCCGTATGATTATGTAGATACAGTTGGTCACGGTGGAATGACTTTCACTGGAGATAGAGATTTTGTGGTTAAGGAAATTGAGGTGTATGAATTGAATGAGGGGATGTGAAGAGCCTTTTAATGCGCAGTTTGCCTTTTTGGTGTTGGAGGTTGGGAATTTTTTCGGGGGTACAATTTGTGCTGTGCTATGCTTTGTTGGCACTCTGAGCTATGTGCAGAACTGTTCTCGCAGCTTGTGACATGTCCATATACCTAGTGTGGATAGATTTCATGCGGTGTTTTATGTAAATGTTTCAAATCAAATTTGATTGACAGAAAACGAAAAGTGCTTTCGAAAAGTAGGGCATATGTCAGCAAGGAAAAGGTCAGAGAATCTGAAACGTGCAATTCATAAAGACTTTTATTTCTAGAACTGAATGAGATACTCTTTAGATAAACATAAATCTTTTGAACTTAAGACGTTTTTGAGAAAGAAAATGTCCCTTAGTAGAGACGACACACGCACTCAGAACCGTTTTCTTCAGTCATGTTAGACATTTCCTTACTTTGCACAGCGAGCGTCAGGCTACTGTGGCAGTATGGCGCTATCTAATTTAGTTGTGATGTTATTTCCTTAATAGACACAAGTAACAACACATTTCCACCTGACGGTGATAAAGCACAGTTAAGCAATTGTGGAATGAATGTACACCAAGCGGTACACGGCGCAGAACTAGCAGAATGACATGTACAAGGCGCAAAAAGATCGACAACCACCAAACGGCCATGAAAAAGGGGCACACAACAACCAGAGCATACAAGAATAAATAATGATAAAGCACAATTGTACAATAACATATATTGCCGTTTGTATGAAAATTGCGTTGAGACATTTTCTCTAAGATGTCCATAATTCAAAAGATGAGCACTAGTGTTTTTTATCATTTATACGTGATTAGATAGAGCTCGTCGAGCGGATTAAGAATATCTAGCTGTTAATGTTTTTAAGTGCTAGGATATTTTTCCAATGTTTTCCACATTCTTTTTGATTTCTCGAGAAGAATAAACATGTTCGTTAATTTCGAAGAAAAAGTGTAAGCTACCAGAGTAATGAGCATAAATCTTTTGATATTAATGTTTTTTTGAAAAACAAAATGTCCCGCAATTAATGAATAGTAGAGACAACACATGCATCCAGAACGGTGTTCTTCAGTCATTTTAGAGCTAAAAACATTCTCGTTCGTTATAGTGGTAACTTAAAATCCATTTATCATTATTTAACCAACTTAAAGCGCATGTAGCATAGTGCCCTTTTATAATTTCAACGATTCCAGCCTCTGAACACTAGCGTGCGGACTCAGAGAACAGACCATAAATACCAATTTGTTTGCATTTATTTTTCAAGTAGGGAGGCGACAGTGTCAGAGAGCCAGATAAAGTATGTCTGGAAACTCTCTGCTTGAAGCGAAATGACACACGTCAATACTCTGTCTTTATTTTAAAAACCAAAAACCGGAGAAAAACGTGCGTGTGAACGGTGTGATTTTTATTCCCCTTTCCAAGCGTTACACCGGTATATATATATGCGAGCACAATGGGAAAGAAGAAGAAAGTATTGGACGTCCGGCAGATAGTAAAATAACAGTTATCATTTACTGAAAAAAGAAAAGTATACGGCAACAACGAGGGAGATGATATGTACAATATGTATGTCTGTGTGAACAGAGAGAAATATAGAGAACAAAGAGAATGAATGTGAATGATGACCACGAGTCTGACATGTGAAAGGCCATAAGCCTGTAACATACACCCCCTCCCCCTTACAAAAAATGAAGAGTGTCTGTATTGAAAACACAAGCAAAGATGTTCACTCGAAAGAGTAGGACACATGTAGAGACAAACCGAAATGAAAAGTAAGCGCAAAACGTATTATGCTAATTTTTATGTATAAAACCGACAAAAAAAACCGCTAAACAAAAACGAAGAACTGTTTTTTTTGTTCTTTTTTCAAATGTGTAATAATAAAAACGAGTCTTGATCTAATGCTTGTTCAGTCCATTGTTGATGTTCTTCCTTTGTACCAATAAACAATGTTTGTCCAACCATATTGATGTTTGTATATCGTATACCCATTGAACGGAAAATTTGTTTGACCATTGCTGCTGAAAAATCAATACCTTGAGTCTTGTCCTTGAATACTTGTCGCATCACCTCCCATCGATATCAGTTTCGCCGACTCGAGTGGCTTCCTTTTCGATTTTTTATCTTCTGTTCATATTGTGTAAAGCCATGGACATATTAGAAGACCTTCTAATGTGTCAAGGGCTTTACGTTGTTAGACTACTTTGGATTGCAAATACGATATGTTGACGATTTTTGATCTTGGTGGTATAACGATTTTGGATTGTAAGTGTGGTTGTTGGTGACCTTGTACATAATGATGATTATCTTCTTCTTCTGCTGTTTGTTCCAATGGTTCTTCATGTTGTACATGAAGAACTAGATCTAAATTCATTGAATTGTGATCTTGCTGTAGGACTTGTGGCGATGATTCGTCCTGATTATCGGTTTGCTGTTGTTGATCCTGTACGGCTGGTTCTTCATTTTGAACATGAAGAACCATATCCGTAAATGTTTGATCATAATTTCGAACCTGTTCTAATGTTCAGTCATGGAATATCGAACAAATCAATTTTGCTACGGCCAAACAGTCGTACGCTGCATATGTTTTTAATCGTTCACGTTCTTGTGGTGACATATAAGCACTCAAGGCCGTATCAAGTCCAACTGCCGAATTTGCCAATGCGCTTGATTTATCTAAATATTGGCCAAATGTTCTTGCTATGGCCATCTGAAGACCCCACTGGTCATTAACTGCCTTGTATGGACGATGAGTACGTGGACAGAGACAATCGTCGTAGTCATCGCTGTTGTGGACCGGTTTTTGTCGTTGACATTCTTCGATGTGTGGGTGTCGGTCATTATACCACTCTCGAAAACGACGTTGAAGATTGAATACTTTTGCTGGAATATCGGAAAGTTGAAACAAACCACTGTGTGAAAATGGTTCCAGTTCGGCACGTAAACGACCCCATGCATAGATGGTGTTGGTTGATTTAAATATCGTTTTCATCAATTTAACCAGCTCATTAAATTTGTCTGCTTTGTTGGTTTTATTTGGCAGGTGATTCATTTCAATAAATAAAATTATTGATGGGGTGGTGAACGATATGCCTTGGATCTGAATCAGTGGTGGTTTGTGGGAATAGTAGTCGGACTCAGTGTCGATAATGTATGTTGATATGTTTTCTATTTTACTGTTTAATTGTTGTATGTTGGATATCGACCGTAATTTATGCACATGATGGATGTTGTATTGTTTTTTAGATACATAAAACGGATCTAATTGTTTTAGTTCGTTTTCTTGATTTTCTCGTCGTTGGCGTTGACGTGCGTTTCTTCGCTGTTTTGCTGTTTGTGGTTGTTGTATTTCATGTCGAAGTTTCGGTAGTGATCTTGAGGATGACTGATGTTTGAATATTCAATTCGATGTTCGTTGATGTTCTGATGTTGGATTTGATAATTGACGATATCTAGGTGGTATATCCCGATGTTGATGATATCTAGATGGTGGATGTCGATTCATGCTGTGAATAATATAACGAGAGTAGAGAAGTAATAATGACAATAATAGCAAAAAATAGTATATCTAGAGAAAACAAATAAGAATAAATCTTTATCATCTTTTCGTTTCGGTGTCAGGAAAATTTAGCTGCTCTTCCTCTCACTATCAGCAAAATTTAAAAATCTTTTCTTCTCAAGTTCCGGGAGACATGGCATTTTTTCCTCTCAAACAGGAAAATCTCTAGTCCTCTGTTCTCAGGCCAAAGTTTCGGATGAATTTCGCTATTAGGATTCACAAATCGGTATCATACATATCCATTGCAATTAGTATGATCAATGATGTAAATGCCAAACTCTTAATTTCACACCCATCGCATAATTTTTGTTGAAAATTAATCGTGAATGTTTGAGTGAGATTAATAATGCTGTTAACCAATAAGAAATATAAATAGTCGACCATATAACAGTCCCTTCTGGCAGTGTAGAGTGGAAAGCTACTTCTCCAACAGGCATTGCTGGATCACATGAGTGACCACCCATAAGTAGACCGATACAAAAATGTTGTGCATTATAATTCCCACTAGTAAGCTGTTGACCATTGTTTTAACTGATATTTAGACGTTCGAATATTGGTATGATGGAATCGACGGTGATTTGTTTTGTCAAAGTTGGTCTTTTGGTGTGTTGCACTATATATGTTTTGTCGGCCAATCGTTGAGCGATTTTAAATGGACCTTCATGGCGAACATCAAATTTTCGTCTATTATTTATTGTTTTGACTAGATCCAAATCGCCTAAGTTGTATTTGGTTTGTATTAACTTCATCTGGATGAGGTAAGTCTTACAAAGTGTGAGTAGTCAGGCACCCATAATGATCTCAAAATATTATGCAGAAAAAGTCTGAGAAAAATCGCAAGATGGGCCTCCCTGTTCATATTCCAGAGGTATGCCCTTTAGCCATTTTTAATAAAGCATTATTTTTGCATGAAACGACTGATGAGGCTATGCCACCCCTATAATCAGGGTTATAAAACATCAAATGGGAAAAATAACTCACAATATGTTTAAAACGTACGCTGCCAGAAATGAAGATTTTTCAACCAAAGATCAATATTGTGGTTAGTACATAGCTGGATAGTTTGAAATGTTTAGTTACTGAATCCATGTTGTTTTCACGGATGTCGAGGTTTCTGTCCGGTTTTCCAGCAGATCTCTAAAAGCTGCGAGATGCTAGCTTTTCAGAAAACGCTCTTTTTTCATTTGACTACTAATGTTAAGAGACAGTTCAAAACCACTTTGTCACTTTGTCGAGCAAAAGATTTGATTAAAATGATTCCTGTTACATCTTTAACTATTGTTTTAGTCACATGTTATGAGTCGTTTATCGAAGGTTCTAAAATATGCACCTTACACCGACGCCACGGAAATCTCAAAAGCCGCTACGAATACGTAGACCTCTCAGAACTTTCCAAAAGTTCGGTTACTCTAGGTGCTTGAAAGCTTCAAGTAGTTTAGTCTCAACAAAAAGTAGTGTGTTATAACTTACTTTTCGACTACTAAAGTGGTTTTCAAGCACATTCAGCAGTGTACAGTACTTCCAAATGGATTTGTGCTAGTAACTGTAGTATTGAGCGTAGCTCCGAAAGACAGCATCAGTGTTTCTTGCCAAAACAAATTCGAAAGTCGATGCTGATTTTTTATGGAAAGTCATTTTAACACTGACTTTGATATGGTCATTCGTTGATCATGTACATCATTGAGTCGATAGTGTCGAGTATTTATTCACTTATTCGGCAGTTGTAGCAAGTATTCATCATTTACTTTTGCTTTGTTCTCTTCACCTATAAGGCATATAGAGACTAATTTTATATCAAATGAAAATTTATGTATGGTAGATTTCCAAAAACAATCGACATCTTATCACAAAATTTTTTGTTGTCATTTAGATATATACACTATGGAGCAGAGCTCCTTATGGACTGGTCGGAAATTTTTTTGAGTTCATGAACTCGGATTGGACTGGATTCGAGAAAAATTTTGAATGGACTTGAATTCAGGAAAAATCGATAAAAAAACATGTTGTTTTGTATTGTTAAGTGCGATTCTATATAGTGTGTAGTACATGCTATATAGAATTATTAATACTTTTTACCTTCATTTTTCAGGTTTCGAAGCATCTAAGTTCATCAACAGAAAAATGTAGAGTTTCTCTGAAATGTTTCTCGTTATCCGAGAGAAAACCGTAAGAGTTCAAAAGACCTTAGAATTGGGCGTTCACTTTTCTCAGAGAAATAATGTTATACGAAAAACCTTCACTTATGCGAGAACTGTGTTGTATATTGGACAAGAGAGAATGTGAAAAATTTTCTAACTGATAAAAATCTTGAAGCAATGATACCTTTATGCGAAAATATAGATGGACAGGCATTACATCGGTATTATCAGATGTATCAAACAAGTTTCTATGCCATGTACCAATTGTCAAAAACTGAATTATTTTAATTACACAAGAAAATATTACCCATTAATGTTTATGTACGGTTTATAACTGAACTCAAAAAATATGTGCCAATCGACAACGATCGTAATCTATCATCAGTTATCTGCAGAATTATGTGAAGAAGTGGATACTCAAATAGTACGCTTTGTCTCGCTAATTTCGTAAGTTATTTTTTTATGCTAGTACGCATTGGTTCGACGTTTTGTTAACAATAAAGACGATTTGAAAGTTCAAACAGGATCCGAGGAATATAGATCCCAAATGAGGCCAACCAGTACGAGGGTCAAAACTCTTACATTCTCTAAAAACGTATCACTATTTTTTAATGAATAGAACTCGATAATTTCTTTTATCTTGTTCCTTTTGATCTGAACAAACAACGTCAGAACAGCTTCACCTTTTATCGTTCGTGACACACAATGTTCTGTCTTTAGTTTCGTGCTTTTTCGGCGCCAAGTACAAAAGAAAATAATTTTTCGTAAAAACTAAGGAAGATGGACTTTTATCTCTTTCCAACTCATGGGTTATATTTTCCTCTATCGAGCTAATTAGCCGCGAACGTTAATAATAAATTAGGGGAGGTGCAAAAAAAATTCAAGGAAAAAGTCATACCGTGGATCGAATCTCGACTCTGTCTCACCATCGACGAGTGTTCAACCCATTCCGTATCAGCGCTAGAGATGTCGGGTTCCGCATCAGGAACCGGGACCGCGGTTCTTCATTGGGAACGAAACCGCGGTTTCGTAGATGGTTCCTTTTTTCGGGAACCGAGACTTTTTGACTTGTCTTTCTTTTAATAAACTGAAAAAGCTACATTTGCCTGTCATCATTTAAAACAGTACTTTCGTTTACTATGAAATGAATTATATTTCGTTGAATTTTTACTGGCTGAAATGCTTAGGCTGCTCCCTTTATTCTTGAAAATTACATGTTGTTATTTGCATATCCTTCTCTTATTGAAAATGGAATTGGGCATTTTGTGAAACTTCTCCATTCACTCCAGCTATTTGTTGTATTTAGTTAGACGCATAAGTTTAGTTTTTATTTTTATTTCTTTACTTAGATTTTCAAGAGAATTTTTGAATAGAATACTTTGTAACCTGTTCATTTTACTCATAATCTCCGTCTTCATCCATAAAAATGGTTTACAAAAAAGAACGATTAGAAACGCTTTTTTTTATTGATAAAATCCGTTCTTGAGAAGCTTATAGCATTGTTGCCATCTTTTTTCTAAAGCTCTTGAATGAAGACAGAGATTATGAGCAAAATGAACAGGTTACAAAGTATTCTGTTCAAAAATTCTCTTGAAAATCTAAGTAAAGAAATAAAAATAAAAAATAAACTTATGCGTCTAAGTAAATACAACAAATAGTTGGAGTGAATGGAGAAAAAAATTTATAAGCAAAATACTGAGACCGCCATTTGATCTGGGTCACCCGTTATACTTTTTTAATACTCACTTTTTATCTTCATTTTTAAGGTTTCGAAGTGTCTAAGTTCATCAACAGAAAAATGTACAAAGAACTATAAAGACAGATGTTGTTTATACATGAATTCGTAATAAACGAACATATGAAATAGTTCGTCTGCCGGTAAGGTGCAGCTAATGCAAAAATGACGCAAATTTTTTTTCTGAACTTATGAAACACCACTGGATAGTGGAACTCGAGCTGAATACGAATACGTGATTTTTAATTTTTCTAGTGGAGTTTTTCGTGTCAAAAATCGAAAAATCTTTCGTAGTTTTTCGACTTCTTCTGGCACGGAATGTTCGAAGTATTTTTTTCTGATTCAGCTTCGAAAATTGAATTAGAAAATGGTGTTAGACCCAGTTTAGAGAAAGACACTCGTCGGCCATGGACGTCCAACTGGACAGATGCTGAAAAGGTATGAGTCATTTTGTAAACCTATCTAGCTCTTTGTGTGAAGGACTGGAACTACGGTTTATACGTCATACCCAGTACCACTCTAGCTTAAAAAGTATGGTTCGCTTTTTAAAACTCTTTTTCTTGCTGAGAAAATCCATTTTTCTAAATCTGATGCGAAAAAGTCAGAATTCTGCTCGTAATTATCAATTTTCTTCATCAGAACTAAATATCATATTTGGAATTAGGATGAGAAAGTGAGTCGACTGATGCGTATTTCGAAATTTTTAGTTGATTTCCATTTCTTGGTGAAAATCTCGAAGATTTTTCAACGTGAAACTTCGATAAAAACTAAATTTATTTAAAATAAAACACAGGATGACACTAACAGAGACAGAAAAGAAATAACAGAATAAAAGTAAATTCTAAAAAGGACTAGAGAAGAATGAGAGATATGGTTATTTTATTTTTACTTTAATTCTTTGACTGACACATTCTTCTGGATATTCATGAATGACAGAATAGGTAAGAGACTTTTAACTGGAAAAGAAATGTATTACGGCTGTGAATATTTTTTTTCTGTCAAATATCTGCTGGTAGAAGTGAGCGAAACTGAGTTTATTAAATCCTTACCTTCAGATTATCAATACGATCCCCAAAACAGTACATGTCACAAGAGAAAAAACCTTTGATTATATCTTTTAGAATTGTAGATGAAACATGCTTAATCATTGTTAACATTTCTTTTGGAATCAAAGAAGAGTTAAAAATGGCTGAATTTTTTATATATAAGTAAGTAATCGAGTTCCGTATTTCTTTTAAAACTACAGACTCTCGTTTTGTTTTCCAGATTCATTAATTTGATCGATACTTATAAAACAAAAGATTATGTTCAAATTTTATTGCTTTATGGTTGTATTCATCAGATTCCAATACAAACAAGGAGGAGGATGAGATTTATATAAAACTAAAAAAAGTTTTAATTATGTTAAAAAATTTGATAATGCACCAGATTGCATTCGCTATATTCTTGAACAGAAAAGAATGCAATTTATATTGATTGTTTCTGACACATCCGCTGAACATTTCATTCCAATAATACATGTACAATTATCAATTATTTATATTTATATTTATTGTAAAAAACAAAACGAACAGCAACAATGGATTGAGAAAAGTTATTTAAAAACACAAAATAAAATTTTTATTAATCAGACTTTATTATTTCAAGAATTAGAAAATTTTGTCTTGAAGCAATATTGTAGAAATGATTTAATTTCTAACGAAACGTCACCATTAATAAGTTATTTCAATGAAACTGAAATAATAAATCATTCAATAAGAAATTTAGATGAAGCGCTTCTTCGTATGCCAACAACAGACAGAGCAAAACAGACAAGAATTGACGCTTGTCGTGATTATTATAAGAGTAATACCGTAGAACAAAAACACATAGCAATATTTGAATTAGAATATTGTTCAGCTGATGCCATTCGGTGGTTTACAAAACCTAGTTTTTGTCATCGTGTGACACAAAGGCTTCGATGACTCAAAATATTGCTTGTTTATATAGATTTCGTTTTATTATTACAGAAGTACATAGACAATTAGATAGTTTATATGATTTTTGTCTTATACCATTCCCTCATATGTTTATACGGGAAAGGTTTTACCAGCAATTCAACTCGACAATTTAAGGGGCCTCCCATCCGAAATTATCTCCGACACCGTACATCCGATCTTGACGAAATTTTCCATAAATGTTTGGCTTAATGAGTTACGGGAATGAAAAAAATGTTTTGTCTCCAAGTCTTACTGTTCAGGAGTTTTCCAGAGATCAAGGTCCTAAAAGGACCATGAAGTGTTTCCCAAGATTTTTTAACATGCTTCAAGCTGGAGAGTAGGCATGCACCAATTCCGAGTCCAACCAATTCCAATTCCAATTCTTAGCTTGGAATTGATGGAATTGACCGGAATTGGAATTGGAATTGACAAGAATTGACCAGAATTGGAATTGGAATTGAAAAAAATTGGAATTGACCTATGTTTTTCCTTGTGCAGAACATGATACTGAGGTTTATTCCCTTGACTTTAGTCTAG